AACCCTTGCAGCTGTTACAAGGAGACATGTACAAAGATGTCTGTTGTGGTACCGTGTGTAATAATGAAAAATATTTCATGTAATGAATGCAATGAATAAAAATGAATGAAAAATGGAAGCATCTTAAATATAGTTTGTTCTACATTCCTGTTAGCCTCATTACAATTCTCAGGGATAGTTATCATCTCACTTAACAGACAAAGAAACTGAATCACAGAGAAGTTATGTATTTTGCTCAAAGAGAGCCAAGGGAAGAGCCCTGGATTTGTACCCTGGCTCTGGAGCCTTTACCTTTACTTACATTACTTCTGTAACTTTCTTTTTAAAGATGGCATAGAAATGTGGGGTGAGATACAGCTAATGTTCTACCGTCTTAGCACCCAGGGGAGTCTTGCTTAGCCAGGCCTTGGCAAGTACTCGGTAACTCAGTTGTTAAAGTGTGATATGATATGTAGGTATTAGGGGCAAAGCAGCCAGAAATCAGAGAATGTCCAGGAACTGGCCACCAAAACAAAGCAAGATTGATGTCCTTGTAGCAACACCAACTCCAACAACAGAGATTTGAAACCATGGGTTGAGTCAGGTAGTTTTGTATCCATGTTAGATCGGCGCAGCGTCAATCTGATATGCACTAGTGCATGAGGCGCTTTCGGGAAAGGGCAGTTAATGGTGGGACCGAGGCATCTGGAGCTGGAGATAAGGCCAGTTCTCCTCAAAAGAGGGTCAGACTGAGTAGGGACTTGAAGCTCCAGAAGTGGGAACAGCACAGGTGAGACCTTTACTCAAGATGAGTTGTCCTGTGGGTAACTGACTCCCCAGCAGTGAGTCCCAGAAAGAAAAAGATGACAGCTTTTCCTTCAAAATGTATTCCCCCGCATATAAGGAAACCACCTCGTATCGTATCTAAATAGGTTTGCAAAATTTAGTCACATTATTTTTATTACATTGCTAATATAACAAAGAGAATTCTCCCCAGAGGACTTCGGGGCCTCCTTTGAAGGGACACTTCATTTTATTTCCTACTTGTTAATAAATCACTCTCTAGCTGAGTACAGTTCAATACTAAAGCACTTAGCTTATCTGACCTTCACATTAATTATTTTTATTACAACAGCAGGAAGTTTAATGTTAGTTTTCCCCTTCCCTGCAAAGCCACGTGGCCCCAAGCAGACCCAATTGTCTCATGATGCCAAAGAGGTTGCTCCTTAAACACCGGTTTAGCTTAGAAATCTTCTCAAGTGTGCTGATTCAAATCCACATTCCATCAAATTAATAGTTTTAAAGGGCTCGTTTGTGTGTGAGTGTTTTGAGATGCCATTAAAATTCTTACAAAAACTGAAAGTGAAATGAGGAAGACTGATTGAGCAATCAACTAGACGGGCGAATGCCAGGAAGACCTATCGTTCAGTAGGGGCAGAGATGCAGCAGGGCAGGGAGAAGAAAATTCAGGAGAATTCTCCTGAGGGCAAGAGTCGAGCTGGGCGATGGAGTCAATGTAGAACATCAACAAACAGATAACAGGAAATTATCCATTCCCTGTGGTCACTTATTCTAAAGACCCGAACCTTCAAAGTTCAAGGAGTGAAATGGTTGACTCCACAGAACGGGAGCAGTCACGCCTTTCTTGTCTTAAGAGAAGAGAAGAAATGAAACTGAAGGAGTGTGTCTTTATCCTCCCCCAGAAAGAAAATCCCTCTGTCCGAGTCTCCAAAGATGGAACGCTGCTGGCCATGACCTTACTGCTGGCCCTGGTGTCCTGCTGCCTCACGGTGGTGTCTTTCTGCAGGGTGGCCACCCTGCAAGAGGAGCTGGGGAGCCTCCGGGCAGAACTGCACGAGCACCAGGCTGAGCAGCTTCCAGGCCCTCCTCAGGGGGGAGCAGCAGCCCCCAGGGCAGCTGTGCAGGAAGCTCCAGCTGCCACCTCTGCACTGAAAGTAAGTTTGCAGCAGCTGCAGCCTCCAGGCACAGTTCTCCTCGCCATGCTGCCTCCCCCACCTCAGATGTTTTTGCCATAACTTGGATATTTTCTATTCTTAGGAGATCTTTGCACCACCAGCTTCAGGAGAAAGCAACTCCAGTCAAAGTATCAGGAATAAGCGTGCCACTCTGGGTTCAGAAGAAACAGGTACGTTTTGGGCACGGAAGCATTTAGCAGTCAGGGATCCCAGTGTTCATAGGTGTGGAGGATAGCACTGGTTTGGGGGAGCGAGAGGTGGACATAACCTAGAGACTACAAAATTTACAGTCTAAACAGATGTGGCTTTACAGCAAAGCTGGAGCCCTGGCAGATTTAATCGGCTGCACAGCACGTTTGGTCCTCCAAAGAGCAAATTTTGTGGGTAGAAGTATATGTCTGTGCTATACTTTAAGTATAGAGGGAGAAAAGGGGGAACATATTTTTCCTCAAATAGATAGTTCACTCCTCTGTCAGAAGCATTATCCAGCACTTCAGAAGAAAAGCACTGCGTGTTAATGTAGAATTAGGGTTTCTCTACCAGGGTCACAGAAAGTCAGCTAAAGATAAACATTTTCTGAGGGTGCATCGTATCCTGTGAAACCAAGTGAGGATCATAGCAGGAGCAGGTGTATGTTTGCGCTTTATTTTGATTCTTTCTTTAATAAGTTTATTTTATGCACACATACACACTAATTTTAAAGTTTTTCTTTAATGTGTGCTTTTCCAGGAGATCCACACATTCATAACCTTGTTGTTCTTTAGTGGTTTCTGCGTATCTTCATGTTCCACTTGTTCTGCAGAATTTTATAGATTCTTGAAACCTCAGATTTGGCGGGGCCTCCCAAAATGCTCAATTCTATATCCTTTATTCCAAAAATGAAGAAGAGCATTTGCACTGCATTTACTAATTTCACAATTTAACAAATCCTTGACATTATTCCCCTTTTATATTAAAGGATATTTTTTGAGCTCCTAAAATGTGCCAGGCAAGCATGTACTAGGATAAGTATTGTCACACCTACTATTTCCTTTAATATTCACAGTAACTGTGAGATAAACAGAACAGTGTAATTATATATATATTTATGTATACTTCTGAAGGGAAGTGCATGAGAGACATAGAGACAGGTGTTCTGTCTCACACACGCACACGATGCTCTGTGAACTTACCTTTCACTAAATGCCTTATTCATAAGAAATATATTTTATTTTATAAAACTATTTTTATCTGATTATCATATCTTTGTGCCAATTATCAGAAAAAATTGGGTTTAAACATTATTAAACTAGGAAACATTCGTATTTCTACTATAATTTAACACATCAATTATTTTCTCATTTTGCATTTTAGCATCCTATTTTCTACATAATTGAAAAAATACAGCATATTTTTGTGTTCATTTATTATTATACTATAAACATTTTTTCCCTATTTCTAAGTAATTCTCACATACCTATATTAGCTTATCCATCATATAATTATTTAACATAATCATTTCCAATTTGTTGTTTTGCTATAATAGAATATGTCAAAATTATTGTACAGATCTCTTCTGTTTCTGAGGAATTAAATTTTTGATATAAATTCCATAGATGGACTCTCTGAGCTAAAAAGGATGAGCATCTTTATCACCCTGCTACCTCTTGCTGTATAGCTTTCAAAATGAGTTATAAATACATACAGTTAAAAATATATTGCACAAGTTTTCCAGTCTTTTTTAAATTTAATTTGGTTAGTTTAGTAGTCGTAAAGCAGTATCTCAAATTTAATTTGCTGCTTGCTTACAAATAAAAATTAAATTCTTTCCACATAATTTGATAACTTTTTTCTTCTGTTAATTTTTTTTATTTTCAACTTGTCTCATTTGTCCCTCCTATTTTTTTTTATAATTTTGAGCAAACTCTATATTAGGCATATTAATTGTATATCCAAATTTTGATGTAAATATTTGTATAATATTTTGCTGTTTTTCTAAACTTTTACAAAGATTTTGTGTCTGTTTATTTTAATGTGATAGCTTTTACTTTTGATTTTCACTCATACAACTAAAGGAAAAATATATTTGTTCATAACCTCTTAAACAGGCATTCTATTCTCTGCTAATTTGACTCTTTTCTAACTTGACGTTCTAGTTAGATATTTAACTCATTAATCCTTTCGGCATTTACTTTCACAGATGATGTCATACTAGCTTTTAAATCCCCCTTTCTTCTATTTTTTTCCTTCCAAACTGTTGCTAAATATCTCAATTAAATTTATTAGCAGATTTTTTTTAACTTGTTAGTATTGGAAAGCTTACTGTATTATCTTAAGTTCCTCATGTATAATTGAATCCATGTTGAGACTTTTTTCATTGTTTTATTATTCTGGTTATCTGTATTAAATAAAATATTTTAAGTAATTTTGTAATTTAATGAGCTATCTAGTAGGGTCAGGATGCCTCAATCTTCTTCAATCTTCTCTACTAGTATTTCCCTGCCTCTAAATTTTAGTTTTAAAAATAAACCTTAACTTTACTATTGCAAAGATGATATAGGCTCATTACATCAGATTTAAGAAGAAAAGAAATGAGTAAGAAATCAATAACTGCTTGAGGCTCACTTTCCCACATATCCTCTACTAATATTTTAAAATTTTTATGTGTATATTTTTACATATTTGTGTTTTTATAGAATCCAAAAATTGTATACTGATGAAAAATTTTCCCCAAATAATTTGCAATTTTTAGAAAGTTTGGAGAATAACAGAAAGTGCTAACCAAGTGAATCCAAATTTACTGTTTCTACAGTTCTTATGTAATCACGGCTGTCATTATTTTGGTTTGCCTCAAATTTTTATAAATGTTTAAAGTAGTATATATACTATATCTGTATAGTATATAATATGTATAGTATATATCTTATATATAGTGCATAATATATGTATATAGTATAGATAGATAGATAGATAGATAGATAGATAGATAGATAGATAGATAGATATACTACTAACATTCATTGATCTGAGATGGAATATTTAAAGATGAGAGCCTTAGTGACAGGTAATATATGCTATCTGTTGTCAATAAAATTAGCTTGAATGTTGTTCTAGACACTATCCTTTTGTGCAGGAAAAATTTCTACTTTGTTTAATACTACTCTAAAATTGATGTGTCTATACTCAAGAAGGTTATTGAAACTCTATGATTTTGTCGTTGTTATTTGATAGGGTCTTTTTCTGGAACTGAGAAAATTCTATGCAGTTTGAATCTATGCAGCTTTCTTTGGTTATCATTTCCATTCTAGTTATTCTGATTCATTTTCAATAAGACTCAAAAACTTTATATTGTCTCTTTTACTTTCGAAGTATTCATTTATGTTCTCATTTATTAATTTTTGCCTATGTGTTTTAGAACCATTGACATTTTTGTTGGAATTTAAAGCTAACTCTGAAGAAGAAAACGAATGCTTTAATTTATATATTCAAAAATGTTAAATATTTCTATTAATATCAAATTTTAATTTCCCAATAAGACATAGTTTTTCTTATGTAGGTTTCACTATTCTTTCAAAGTTAATTTTAAAAGATTTTGTTGCTGTTTTGGAGTCTTAGCATTTTCATATAGCTTTTTAAACTGTAAAAATGTACAGTTTTCTATAAATGATACAGCATTAGATCTCATGCTTTTTTTAAGCCACATAAACATCCTTATAGATTTATACTTATAATATTATTTTAGATTTTTTCTAGAATACTCTGCTTTCCACATATATTCTTCAATGATAATGTGCTATCATTTCATAACTATGTCAAAAAGGTTCATAGCTAAAATTGGTAAATAACACACCAGAATGTTCTCTAGTCTTACGTTCTATAAATCCAACACAATTTTACCAGCCACTTCAATTTTATTGTGTGTATATTCAATTTATAAGTAAATTCCAGTGTATTGAGCTAAAAAGCCCTACCTCACCAGCACCCAGCAAGCCTAGTATTGCATCAGTATTTGGTACTTGTTACATATCAGCTAGAAAGGCTGTCTTTTCAGTTGTACAACTGTCTGTACAACTAAAAAGTAGAGACTTCTGTGGTTTGGCCACTTTTTCTCCTTCTGTATATTCATCATGACACATGCACACAGTAGGTATTCTATGAATATTTGTTAATTGATTTTGGGCTCAATACGAAGTAAGATAGAATGATTTAGAAATGATTTGGCATCATTTTGTGGAAGGAGATACTCATGTTTCAGGTCTCACTTTAGAGGCCATCTTATGCAATTTTTTAACATGACATTTAAAATAACTAATTAACCAAAGAATAGGCCTGATCACAAGTCTAGAGTCATGGAGAGCATTTAGGAACACCTTGCCTCAGATCCTCTTGGTGCACCAGGGTCAGGCACAATTTGGGCTAAAAAGTCATGGGGAAGCTCTCATATTCAGCAACCTCTTTAACTGCCATTTCATGGATTTCTGGTTTTATTTAATGTTTTTAATTTTAATTGAAGTATTATTTAAATATGGTAAAGGACACATATCTTATGGATACAGCTTGATGAATATTCATAAATTGACAGCAGTAGATGAAGAGACCACCATCAGCCCACATGCCCCTTGCTCCTCTTTCCAGCCCCCTGAAGGGTATATGATGCTTTTACTCAATTTTAAAATTTGCTACTTTGGCTCCAGTTTTGTTTTTCTTAATTATGTTGTGTTTGAAATGAGAGTCTTATTAAGTTTCATGTTTCATAAGATAATTTCTGATTATAGTATAACAAACAGAAATGTGGGGAAATCCAGGATCAAAGAATTGCCAAATGGCTTGTATTAGCCAAATATTCACTTTTAAGCCCACAAAGTGTATTTGGAGATATTCCCAATTGTAAAATAATAACTAAAGTGATATGGCTTTAAAATATTACTCATTAAAATTTCTTCACAAATGGTATCATGATGACTCTTGTTTTGTACCCTCACCTAATTATAAATCTATTCATTTTAAAAACCTAAGGATAAGCATCTTTAGAGTCCAGCAAGAAAATGAATTCTTTTATATGGGTTCCTATTGAACTAAAACCGTTTATTAATAAAATCAGGTGACCTTAGTATTTTCTCCCTTGTTATTCAGTAGGAAATTTAAAAGTTATTAGAAATAATAATGTGTTGTAGGTCATAGAAGGACAAAA